TTTCAAAAGAGAGCTTATGAGAAACATTCCTTCCTTTATTCAAATGTACCTTTGGTACAATATCATTATTTTTATAGCGATTCTTTAAAGCAGTTAATCTATCACACCTGACTTAGTAACAAAGAGGAAAACAGCTAGAAGGGCACCCACCGAGAAACGTGATCAGTATATATAGTGTAAAACCTAAAGAAGATATTGTTTAGTATTTCTTAGTATAAGGAATTGTTTAATGAGTGAAAGATAGTTTTGAGAGTAAAGCATCTTAAATTACGGAAATTGTATAAACATTGTTGGTATTTAAATAATAAATTTACTGTGAGACGTGGATTTTTATGCAATGTCTGAAGTTGAAAAATTATAGTAATAGTTATTTTAGTGGATCGGATATTCCCATGGAAAAAATATTACATATGTAAACTCGATAAGTTGGTCTCGCGATAAGCTGGCAAAAATTTTCATCCCTTTTTCTTAATATTTGTGAGCTTTTCAATAGAAACAGACCATTTTGTGAAAAATTTTTTTTTTGAATTAATGCCATAGCTATATGTAACTCCTCACGTAAAATGATTTTGGCTTAGAAATCGTACCCACTTTGCATAGTAAAATATCGATATGCTTTAAAGTTTCAAAAATGATAGTAAGCGGATCTTTTTTTTGATTTCCTCAAACATCACTTTCACAAAATGGCCTGTTTCTATTGAAAAGCTCCCATTTAAATAATTTAATTCGATGAGTCGGTATATGAGCTCACCCCACGTGACCGACTTCTTGAGTTTACATATGTAGTGGATGATCTGCAAGTGGACATTTTAATTTTTTTTTTCATAACATTGTGCAACAAATTATTCTTAAAAAAAATGTTTGAAATAATAGATAGTTTGCCACATGAACTTCTAACTGAAATATTCAAATATATTGAATATGATTACCAAGCATTATATTCTTGTATTCTTGTCAACAAACAATGGCACAATATAAATATTCCAACTTTATGGAAGAATCCATTTGATTGTGGAGACTGCATCAAAATATTAATTAATTGTATGTTAGAAGAAGATAAGGATTTCTTAACTAGAAATTACATTGGGTTAACTTTTAAACTATTGGAGAAACCACCATTATACAATTATGCCAGATTTTGTACTATACTTTATAATTGTCATGATTTTCAATACCTGGTAAAAAATAGAGAATTAAATTTACAAATTTTAGAAAATAAATTAGTAAATTTTATTTTAGATCATTCAGCAGGTATTAAAAAGTTTAGTTCTTATTATGTAGATTGTAATTTATTAATTAACCATCATAGATTTGATAATTGTTTTCAGAATCTTTATGGAATAGATTGTAGTAGTTCTGATAGTGATGAGTTTTTTGATAAATTAGCAAGTATTTGTAAAAATATTCAATCATTAACAATATATTGTGGTGGTAATGATGAAAGTATATATAATTTAGCACAGCTAATTAAAACACAAGAGCAAATTAAATATATAGTTGTTGAATCTGCAATGTTACCAGATGAATTGAAAAAAGCAATATTAACACATTCACAATCAATAATTTTTTATGGAACTCATGGCAATGAAGATAATTTTAATAATTTATTATTACCAACTTTTAAAAATTTAAAAACTTTAGAATTATCAGTTCATGGTAATAGCCAAATGATAAATTTGAAAAATATTTCATTGCCAAATATTGAATCTGTGAAGTTTAATGTTAGGTATCAACCATTTATATCAGAATTATCTGATTTTATTAGTACAAATGGAAAAAATTTTAAAAATTTGGATATTGGTAATTTACTATATAGTTATGAATTTTTTGGAAAGTTATTTCAATCAATTACACAATATTGTAAAAATTTAGAAGATTTAACTATATTATATAAGGAAGAGTTAGACCAGAAATTAATGGAAGTACTTAATAATTGCATTAAATTAAAAAGTATTAGATTTAATAAATATCCTGGACGTATAGATTTTGATAAAATATTGACAGTATTAAATGAAACATTACCAAAAAATTTAAAGTCAATAACTTTTACTTGCAATGTTTATAATGTTAGCAACCATTCTTTGGATGTTCTAATGAAAAATTGGAGAGGACCCAAACCTTTAGTGATAGGGTTTAATAAATATAGTTATGAATTCCTGCTAAAAAGTGATGGAAGAAAAATATTAGAAAAATATCAAGATTTAGGGTTTTTAATAATCAGAAAATAAGAAATTTTATGTAATATGTTCAATTATTCTTGATTAGAGATGTTCCAATGCGCACATATGCACATGTATTTTTTTTTTGTACATGTTAATAAATGTAATGTAAAAAAATTAAAAAAATTTTTTTTTATTATGAAATATTATCCAAATGACTCAAGAAAAATTTGGTTACAATTATTACATTATAAACAACATACTGGCTTGTTTGACAATTCTTTAGCATGGTCAACTATAGATGAAGCAGATTTGATAACATGGTGGAAAAGGAATTTTTCATTAGTTGCCCCTGAACTGATTAATCTTGCTGTACGAATTTTTTCAATCCCTACATCTTCAGCAGCATCAGAAAGAAATTGATCTGTATTCATGATAAAAAGAAATAGACTAACATCTGGTATAGTTTTCAAATTATTGTTTATTTATTTTAATTATAAATTACAAAATCCAAAAAATCAAAATAAATTTAAAGA